GGAACTGAAAATATGGATGGAGGACAACAGAGCTGCTTCATGGAAGAAGAACCTCAGCTTAGCCTGTTAGCTTTAGCGTTAGCGCTGACGCTAAATTACCTTATATGAATTAGCTCAGCGCTAGCGCGACAAACTAACAAGCTAAGTTGAGGTTCTTCCATGAAACAGCTCTGTTGTGTAAATACAACCACAATTCCAATGAAGTTAGGACAATGTAAAACAAAAATAAAAGCAAAATACAATGATTTGCAAATCTTTTTGAGTTTAAATTCATATGAATACACTACAAAGACCAGATGTGTAATGTTCAAACTGATAAACTTAGTTTTTTGCAGATATTCACTTATTTTGAATTTGATACTGCAACATCCCAAATCTGGAGCAAGGGCAACAAAAGAGTGGGAAAGTTGAGGAATATACTATAAGACTACAACAACACTCAGAAACATTGTTGACTTCTCTGGGCCCGAACTTATCTGGTGTCCTGTGGTCTGATGAGTCCACATTTCAAATAGTTTTTATAAAATCATAAATGTCGTGTCCTCTAGGCCAAAGAGGAAAAGGACTGTCTGGATTGTTATCAGCTCAGAGTTGAAAAACCAGCTTCTCTGATGGTATGGGAGTGTATTGGCATGAGTAAATTGCACATTGTGTAAAAGGAAAGCTGATGGAACACAGTGGTAAACATGCCCGTCCTATCTTTTTTGGAACAAGTTGCAGATATCAAATTTAAAGTGAGTGAATATTATTTGGAAAACAAAGTTTATCAGCTTGAACATTTAATATCTTTGGAAATCATCTTATTCTGTTTCTGTTTATATTTTACACAACATTCTGACTTCATTGGAACTGGGGTTGTAAATGGTGGTGCTCATTTAGATAAGTTTAAATTGTGAAAAAATACTAGTGAGTTAAAGTGCATAACTTAATCTTCTGCAAAGCAAACAAACAGTTGTGTAGTAATTTATGCATTCATTGTCAATGGCATTAAAAAGAGCTTTAAAATGGCACTTAATAAACTGTCGAAGGCATTAAAAAATTAAAAATAGCATTAAATTGGAATCAAAAAAGCATTAAAGTTGATGGGCTGATTCCTGCAGAAACCCTGATATAGCTCGCTAGCAGCCTCACACAGAGGACCTATCCACATCATCGTTTACCCAGAATGCTTTGCGTGTAAATAAAATGGCCCTGTCTGTGTAACATATTTTTAAACTTTTAGTTTAAAAATTATAAAAAACTAAACATCCTACAGTATTTTTACAGTCTTTATTTTACAGTTTAAATATATATTTATCAAATAAAGTCTAATGTTACAACTAACTGTGGATCCCTTTAACACTTTTTTTAAAACTTCAGGTTAGACTCACTGTCGGGGTGTAAATCACTGAGAACACTAACACTTGACGCTAATTATGAATTTGCCTTTTTTTTGTTGAACCTTTCCTAACTGGTTCAAATTTTCTGGGTGACAAAACTGAACCAGAACCACTTTATTTAGATTATTTGGTG